AGCACTGGGTACAGTCAGAAGCGCCAGAGGGTGAGAGAATTCACCAGAGTCAGAGTAGAGAGCAGAGCAAGCAGACCGACGAAGTACACTGCTGAGGGGAGCAGCGGGTGGCAGGAGAGGTCTGCACGCCATGTGGGACCCTCCTCCGGTGGCCGGGGAGCAGCCGGGGATCGAACCAGCACTGCAGAGGCTGCAGGCAGCTTTGCAACCCCGCGCTCAACCGCTGCGCCACCGGGGAGGCCCAAATCACCCTTCATCTTAAAGTACCTTTGCATGAAGTTTTATATGCAATGATGGGTTCCATGACCCCCCAACCACCAAAGGGACCCTAATCAAAAGATTATCCAGCCTGTCCTGGGAATGGAGTCCCCGCTGCCTAGCAGATACCCACACCCACCACTGGGCTGAGGCTCTTTCCCTTGGACACACCTGTTGTGACTTTCTATCCAGTCAGAATCCTTTAAAGAGCAGCCAGTCCGTGGGTAGATTAAGCCCTGCACACTCCCTGTGTGGGGAGGCAGGCTTTCAGGAATGCAAGCCAGGCATGTCTCCCAGGCTCCAAACAGCAGGGCAGGAGCTTCTGGAGCGAGATTCCAGCAACTACTACAGAAGCACCAGTGAAGGAAAGTGGGGGTAGGGGCACCCACAAATGTTAGATTTAGCAGCAATTTTCCTTACAGAGTGATCTGCAGGATATATTGTTAAGTGAACGAAACACTGCAGAACAATGCTACCTTTTGTGTGAGAGTGGAGGGAAGGATGTAAACTATATGCATTGTTTATATTAATAAAAACAGTCACAGGATCAAATTAATAAAAATAATAATCATTATATAAAGAGAAAGGAATCGAATAGAGGGCACAGGAATGGAAGTAAGCTTTCTAAACTCTGATTTTTGACTCACAGAGCTTCTTTGGATAATTCATTTTAAATAGATAAGTAAATTTAAAAAAATAATAAACCAGCTCTAATAATTGGAGATGAACTGAAGTCTGTGAACCTAACACTATGTCGAGTTAGTACAGAATCACACAGAAAAAGAGAGAACTCCTTCCAGAGCCAGTAAGATAGCTTGCTGACTGTACAACCCAAGTAAAATATATTTGAGAGAATTTTTTAAAACTTTAATGAAAAACAATCATCCATAGTCATATTGTCAGCAGTAATGTCGATATTGGTTGCTGGAAACTATTATGAAAATGTTGCAAAAGGAAAAAGGACTCTCCACCATTAATAGTTCTCCAATTTAGCGCTAGTCCATGAGGCGGGGAATTAAGCCCCCCCGCCCCCCCAGCCTTAGGACAGTGGCAGGAACCCCCTGGCTCCCTCATGCTCTCTCCCCAGTGCTTGGCTCATAGGAGGTTCTCAATGAGCATCTGTTGGGTTGAAGTAAAGGCCAAGGCACAGGCTTCTGCTCAGATACCCCCCAGCTCATATTCTGTCCTACATGAAGTGGGACACAGAGACACTGTCACCTGTACCTGGAGGTCTCTTCTGAGCTTTGTCACAGTCCTGCCCAGAGCACTGCTTTCTTTGCCTGTGAAGTATCTGTGGAAGATGGACTGCTACTGCTACTTTCTCTCTCAGCAAATCCACACTCCTACCCCATCTTGCCATGCCAATGGTATGTCCCTTTGACTAAAGGATTTTTTTCACCTATGATTTCCTTCAGTTTTCCCCTTAACCCTATTTCAGTGTTGCATTTTACAAATAAGGAAACTGAGTATGACAAAGCTAAGTCATTTTTGGTCAAGGCCTCTCTACTGGTAAATGATGTATCCTGGTCAAAAGTTCAGATACATGTACGAAACCATGATTAGCCATGCTACTTTGAACAAATCATTCATTTACTCATTCACTCATCACAAGACCATTTATTGACAGTGTGAGGCACGGTATAGGCACAGGGGCCATATTGGTAAATATAGAAAAAAGACCCTTTTCCTCAAGGGTAACTGAGACTCCGTTTCACCATCTGCCCAAGTGAGAATAACAGCTGGTACTGCTTCAAATGAAGGATTATTCAGAGATGAAAATAAAACAGCATGTATGTAATTAATGCATATTTATATACACTTACTATATCTCTAGATATAGGAGAGTAGTTTATACTAACTGGCTATGTAGATATTCAGGATGCCCATGAAACTTCCAGATGCCAAGTGGACAGATTAACCAGTGGTCCTGGCAAAATGCTGCCTTTTCCTAGAACATATAAGTTCAGAGGTGTTTGCTAAATCCTGGCCAGGGGGTCTACCCTGCCCTAAGCAATGAGGGGGTTCTTCTCAAAATGTCTCAACAGGACCAAGAACATGTACCTGGTTTTCACGGTTTCCAGCTAAGTGTCTGATAGTCCCAGTGAGTCTTGTCAAAGGGTGAACTCTGTTAGAATGTACTTGAGAGATTTTAAACTTAGGGACTTTCAAGACATGCAGATGTGAGTTTGAATCCCACCTCTGCCATTTACTAGCTAGTGACTAAGGACAAGTTCCTTAGCTGAGCAGCCTCAAGTGAAAAATAGGCATAATAATAATACTGACTCATTGGGACTCATAGACTCATTGGAAAAATTAAATGAGGTAATGTATATAAAATGCATAAAATAGGGCCTCCCCTGGTGGCGTAGCGGTTGAGCACTGGGCTGTGTAGCTGCCCGTAGCCTCTGCAGCGCTGGTTCGACTCCTGGCCACCGGTGAGGGTCCCACATGGCATGACAACCTCTCCTGCCGCGCCCGCTGCTCCCCTCAGCAGTGTGTTTTGTCGGTCTGCCTGTTCTGCTCCCCGCTCTGGCTCTGGTGAATTCTCTCACCCTCCCTCGCATCTGATTGTACTTAAATAAAATAAAATAAAATGCATAAAATAGAGGCTAACATATCATAAGTCATTAGTAAGTAACCCCCTTATAGTATCTTCTACATAGCACAAGTCTAGGGGTTTCTCACTGGCCTAAAAGAAACTATGTCTTCTAGAACATCCAATGCAGTCAAGAGTGCATTGGAGGGAGATGCAGACGTGGCCCACACCAGCTCCTAGTCCTAGCAACCCCATGCAAAGTCTCCTCTCAGCAGGCTCAGCTCCAACGAGTCCAGCTGGGTGCATCTGGCTGGAGAGATTAAATTATTTTTGAATTCCTAACTGAATGTTCTTTTAATGGAAACTTAATGACAGGCATTGAAATAGATTTCCTCCATAACCCCTCCTCCCACAGCGCCCCCCACTCCCTGCTCTGTGTTGCACAGTTCCCGATAACCTTTATTCCCTACCCCTGGACTTTTATCTCCCCAGTGACAAACAGCCCTTGCTGGACAGAAAGAGGAAATTCCAGTCATTGTTCTCAAACTTCTGGCTTCCAAAATAAAATGCTCTATCTCTCCTGTCAAGCTTTGATTGACATACACTTCCTGTAATGGCAGACAACAAAGGCCGGGGCGGGGTCAGGAGCTCATTTGCATTCTTTGCATCTGAGGTTTTCATTAAGTTTTTTCTAAGTAGGGGAAGATCCCCAATGATATTCCCAGAATCAGCCTTTTGAGGACCCCTCTCCTGTTTTATGGAAACTCTCTTCGACCCTCCCGGCCACCCACCAGGGAAGTTCTTTTCTGTCCTGTTAGACATGCTTTGGCCATGGAAGCAGACAGAAGCACTAATTGTTTCGCTTCTTAGATTTGGCAACTTGGAAAGCATCTTTTCGGTTCACCCTCTCTTGAGGAATAAGTTTTTAGACAGTTTTCCAGATCTTAACTAAGTATTGGAGCTTGAGCAACCTAAGTCCTACAAGGTTAAACCAAGGTCAGCCGCTCCCACTCAAAAGCCCCACAGCAACAGAAATAAATCAAGCAATTCAAGGGGACTCCCTATCAAGGAAAACTTTGAATATGGTAATGAATCTTGGGATGCTGTTTTTCTTGAAAGGAGTAAGAGCTGTTGACTTGTTTTTCAGATAGGAAGATCCATAACTATAATAACATGGCACTGGATAGCAATAGCAGTAGTGATGAGTGGTCCTAGTGCAATAATGTCACCACATTAGAATAAAAGAACTGCCATTAGCCTGTAGATAATTTGTCCTTCTGGAACCTTCTGTTTTCCATTTATTTTCTTTACTCACTGAACTCTTGGTAACCCCCTGTGTCTAAATGTCCAGGATCCTTGGACTGCTTTTGGGTTCTAGCCACCCCTTAGAACAATCAAAAAGTAACTGAGGCCTCATTTCCCTAGGAATTTATTGGACATAAGGTCCATGGCTTCAGGCTCAGTGGGAATTTGCATTAAAAAGGAGACTCCAAACATGAAATGTCTTGATTCTAATAAAGGAGTATTTAGAATCAGACAGGCTTCTACTGAATAACCCAGAAACAAATGCCAATCGCAAGGATTCCAATTTGTTCCACAGAACAGACCCTAAGGATGTGCTCTGATGTGAAAGACCTGAGTTCATATATTTTCCACTAGTTTGTAAAGAAACTACAGAGTCACAAAACCTCATGACAGCAGAAAACCTCTGGGTCAGCATAGTTTTAGTTCCCTCAGGCTTGTGATACCTGATTTACTCTAGTTTTATCAGTAGATTAAATTGCAACGCCAGCAAACTTCCAGGCACAGGGCAATCTCCTCCATGGGCCAGTTGCATCCATTGTTGTGTTGTGACAAAGTAGGTGGGCCCAAGCCCCTCAGATTCTCTATTGGTCTTGGTCAGGAGGACCAGGGTGCATATATGAATCTGTACAAGATCAAACCCCAGCCTGGGAAAACAAAGCCATCCCTAATAACAGCTGCCACATTATGTGCCAAGACTCACACTGGAGTGATGAGATGGAGCTGAAGAGGAAGGGGCGTGTCTGGAGCATAGACATCTCCTCCTGGGGAAGCGTGACTACAAATGTGTCCTGTTTGCCATCTTCCTTCCCCACCCTCCACTCCCAGAGGAAAGTTCACCCTCAGCAGGATTTCCAGCAGTCTGAATGCACAATAATGACACGTTTGAAAAGTGTGTGCAGTTTCAGAAATTTAATATATTAATCAACACACTGAAAACATTTTGATTCATAAGCAGCTTTGAGTACCACTCTCCAGAATACATTCATAACAAAGTAGGTGGGTAGTGAACAAGACATTCACAGTAAAATCTTCCCCTAAAGATCAGTCTTTATAGTCAGTTGATCCTTTTCAGGAAGATGTGGTGGAGAAAGTGGAGGGGGGCACTCTTCTTACTCTGAGGTCACCTCCATTCCTTTCCCTTTCAAGCTCCTCCCAGCAATAGCACTTCAGTAGAGCCCCTAGGCATAAAAAGAAGATGCTCTTTTTCTCAGAAGCATTATTAATACCTCTAAACTGACTTTGCACCTTCAAACTCTCATTGCCTTCTTAGAAGAACAGGAAATACTCTTTTGAGAGATTAGGATCCCTTTATGCCATTTAATGCAAACTGGAAGAAATATCACCACTATTTTCAAAACAAGCTTGCTTTCTTGTAGGAAGATGTCATCAGGATTCTTGGTGACTTAGCCTCTGTCTAATGTGCCACAAGAGATCACTTGGGCTTTAGCCCACTGAGAACATAAAGCTCAAAGCTTTGGACTCAAAGCTCTGCACATTGGGTGCTTAGAGACACAGAGTTCACGGGCTGAGGCTTCCCTTCACCTCTTGAAACACAGCATGGATACAGAGTGAAATGGAAGCTCCAGAAACCAGGGTCTGAGAAGACAAGAGCTTCTCAATTGTTCTTTGTGTGGTCATCCTTTCTTACTGTCTTTGGTTCATCTCTCCCAACCCAGGAGACAATTTTCTCTTAGTAAAAGCCAATGTTAAAATACCAGTGACTTCTTTCCTATCAGAAGAATTAAAATGAGGGTAGAGTTTTTCCCTGATCCCATCTGCAGCTCACAATTTCTTCAAGACTTTCAAGAGGATTTCATTTGGCCTGTCCCTGAGATTCTTGATGATTTTCACTGTTCCCATCAACATTGCATGATTTCAAATAATCATATTCAAGATTCCAAGTGAGCTCCTGTGGCTCCCTACTTCAGTTTCATAGAAATATGTTGCATGTTCTAATGCAGTTGCCTTTTGGTGCTATGTCACTTATAGAATCATGGTTATGGGGTTCAGAGGCATGGTGCTGGCAGACTCGGAACACTCTTGTCTATTTTCATACCCCAAATTGTTGATTACTTTATCATCTTCTAGTCACTAGGTATCTTTGCCACTTTGTTTTACTTGTGTCAAAAATTCACTGTCACATTTTGGTGTCATCTGTTTCATTGACTTCTGATAAGATGAAGTTGGGGTTATCGTAGCCTCTCTTTGCCCTGGCTCGTGCATCCTTCTCATTATAATGGCACATGGCACAGTGAGGAGTTTCCACCTCCACTGTCTTGCTGAAGTTATGAAAATCCACTCGGTATTTCCCTTCCTTGGTCTTGGATACTATGGGAGCAAAACGGTAGCCCCAAAGCACCTCCTCTGGGACATAGGATGTTCGAACTTGGCAGGTAGCACTGGTTGATTCCACGGTGCCATCTAAAAACACTACTAGTTCAAAGTCCTGCTGGGGGAGGGTTTCTGCTGCCATGTGGAAGAAGGGACTATTATGGTCGATGACGTGGTAAATGGTCAGTGGGGAAATGAAAAATAAATTCTCATTCCCGGCATCAACTACAAAGTTGATATTGATCTGATCCAAAATAATGGTCTCTCCTTCAGGAGTGACTGTGGTCTTCAGAAGTTTTCCATATATGTGACTGCCAATAAGGAGACTCTTCCTAAGATTAGCCACCCGGATCAGGAGACAGAGCTTTCCACCCCGCTTGCTAATCACTGCATTCTTGCTGAATGTGATAGTCTTGGCACATTTTTTGGATCTGGAGATTTTTGCTAAAATGGCACCACACATGAAAGAATTGATGATCACTCCGAGTATAGACTGGAAGATAAGGAGGAAAATGGCTGTGCCACATTGTTCTGTCACGCACCTGAATCCATAACCAATGGTCACTTGAGTTTCTAGTGAAAACAGAAACGCTGAGGTCAAGCCATTAATGTTTTCCACGCAAGGGGTATGGTTGATGGAAGGATGGAACTCTGGGAGATCTTTGTGAATGTAGGCTACGGCATACCACAGAAGACCAAAGAGGAACCAACTCCCCAAGAAGGCTGTGATGAAGATGGTCATTTTGTATCTCCATTTGAGGTCAAGCACAGTCGTCCAGATGTCCACAAAGAATATAAACCTTGACTGTGCGTCCACATTGCCAAATTCTATGTTGCATCTCCCATCCTTGGAGACCAGCCTCGCTCTTTGCCGAGAATGTCCCAAAATTCGAGTGACAAACCATTTCCGAAGATGTTTGAACATCCTTTCTATCAGCAACCTGATCTGAAAACACACCAAAGGAAAAACATTGTGGTTATAATGACAGCGAACTAGGTGTCTTAGATAAAGACCTAATTAGATACGAAAAGAGCATGCAAAATTACTTGGGTTGCTGATCATTTGGATAAGCTGACAAGTTTATTCTTGGATACACAATATTGTTTCCAATAGAAACTTTGTACTCAAAGATCAAATTGTTTGATTATACAGAGGAAAAGTAATTGCAGAGAGATGAAGTGGAAGGAACGTAGGAGAGCATATCTCCAAGTGTTTCCTAACCTTAAATGGTCTCACATGCCCTTGAAAGTTTGTTGATAACTAATTATAACCAGTACTACTTTTTTACTTGATATCATTCTTTAAACTAACTTTCTTTTTTTTCTTTAATAAATTTAGCTTTATGCTAATCAAAAAATCTGTGAAAGCAGAAACTTGATTCACTTTACATTTTTGTAGTATATAAAAATAAATGGAAAAAAAATCTACTTCTAAATCAACTTGTGTACTGCTATTGATAATCCACTATTAAGAGGAATCTTGATCGGATCCAATTTAGTTCTCTCATTTGTCTCAGTTTTCTGAGACTCAGAAACTTGAATGACATGTCAAACCTAATCTGTGGCAGATGACAGCTAGAGCATAAGCTTCCCACTTCCAGACCAGGAAACCTCTACCGAGACACATCCCAGGTATTGGTTGTATGTTATGTAATTAGATTCCCCTAAAACAAGTATTGGTCAACTTCCCTTTTTTTAATGCTTGACACTTGTTAGATCAGATAATTTTTGATCAAGTCCTAAAAGATGATCCCTGTTTTCTCAGTGCATTCCAAAGCCTGCTGCTACTCTGTCTTCATGCTTTGCCAAGATTCCAAAAGGAATAGTATGATAGCTCACATGACCTTCTCTGCTCTCAAGATGAAGAACCGGGGGGCTCTGATTTGAATAATGCACCATAAGGGCTGAGCCAGATTTTATTCATTCCTGGTACCCCAGCTGCCAGCACAGTATAGGGAATTAATGATTTATTCAATTAATATAAATGCAATAATCCAGTGAACAAGCTAAGCTCTTCAAGTACTGTCTGCTCAACACTTTCTTACTGATGACATTAATGTGACTTTTTTTGACTTTACAAAAAAAAAAGGTGAAGGGGTTTTCCCTAAAACAGTCGATGAAGGTAAAACCCAGGGGTCTAAATCCTAGACCACTTCTTGACCTAGGGGTGCCCAGCCCAGTCCCAAGGTGTGCCCACCATGGTGAGCAATATCTTTATGGTATTTTTAATGGAATGCAAATGTGCTTCTAAAATAGATTTCAAAATCCCCCTTCAAAAATATGTTTATTCATACAAACTAGGAAGCGAAACCAACTTAGTGATAAACTTAAACAAAAATGGTAAGCACACGACCTTAAACCAGGTGAAAATGCAAGACGCCTTGGTCGAGAAGAAGTGGTGACAAGAAAACCACAGCTATGGGCATTTGAAATTTTGAGGACAGGTTGCAAAAATATTTAAAAAAAAGAAAATGCTACTAGAACAAACAGAAGTATACAAACTCAGAGGGCCCTGCCCTTAGCCCACCCAATCTTCACTACCCTCAAGTCCCCAAGAGTATTAGGGCACAGTCCCCAGAGAGGGACTGCCAAGGGAAGGGTAGCCATCCTCCTTCTTCCCCAATATCTCTCCCTTTCTCTGCGTGCACATCACATGTTGAAGCTTCCTTCACATGCTGGGATCATCTCCCTTCTTCAGACGCATGGGAGCTCACACCTTTGAAAAAACTTTTCATAAACTGGATCTCAGTTTAGATAACAAATCCTAAAGCCAACGTTAATTAGCACTTTAACCTGCATTCTCTTTGCCTTTATATTAAAACTCCAGAGATGGCTCCTAACACACCAACTTCTGAGTTTTCCCTTCCCCACTACTCTTCTCCAGTCTCTCTTTAATTCATTTCACTTTGAAGATAAAGAATATTTCTGGGGCCTCCCCGGTGGTGCAAGGGGTTAAGCACCTCATTTATGAAGCAATCTGCAGCCTCTGCAGCATGAGTTCGATCCCTGGCCGGCCAGGGAGAAACCCACATGGAGAATCAGACTTCTCTTGACTCACCCGCTGCTCCCCTCAGCAGTGTATTTCAGTCAGTCTGCCTATTCTGTTCCCTGCTCTGTCTCTGGTGAATCCTCACTACCTGCATCTCTGGCTTGTACCCCAGCTCTTGTATGCATAAATAAATAAATCTTTAAAAAAAAAGAATATTTCTGTCAGGTGAGTAAGAATCCCCTGCATGATCTCTTGGATATATTTGTATTTCATGGCCTACTTTCATAACAAAATATGATCTTCCTGATCATGTAAAGAGTTGAAACAAAAGCAAACCACCTATAAAACTGTCCCAAGATTGTCTGAACTTAGCACCATCCTAAGTAGCATCTGTGGCTGAGCAAAGCAAGAAAGTGCTGCTGCATGTTGGTCTCTTATGCAGGCTGATTTTTTTAGACCCAGACTGATTTACTTTAGATTTTAGTCAGTGGACTGATACTAATTTGTACTAGCTGGAAGATATTTAATTCGATAATGGACTTGCGTGGTTTAAACCAAGGCAATTGGTTGTTCTCAGACCAAATCCTGAGTTGGATGTGCACTTGTTTTCAAACCTCATGTGCCTTGAACACCATCATGCTAAGACTTGACAAACCACCAGCGAAGGTCCCTGGGAAGCAGGCATGTCCCCATCTATTACTCTGCTCCTTGGCCATGCTCTGTCACTCTTTTGCTATTTCTCCTAGGTCATGCTCAATAACTTTTTACCAAAAGCAATTCATTATTATCAACTCCCCAACCCATTTCTCTGGAATACACTGAGATGAGGTACTGTAATTTCCAAATGTTCACAACAGTACAGGTGAACATGAAGACACAGAAAGTACATATTTGTATGCTGAAAGTAAGGTCACACCAGGAAGAAATAAGATCACCCACTAATCTCCCTTTACAACAGTCACTGTTATGCAAGAAACTGAGCCTTTATTGCGGGATTTATTTTATAAAATCTGCCATTTACTGAAGGTACTTTTTATATGTACTGGATTATCCAATGCTGTTAATTTATTTACTCAGAGTGAGAAGAATTGTACTTAGAGAATAGGTGTAAGGATATAGGATAAATTCATCCTCTGACTAAACCTAACATTCACACACCAGATCCATTCTACCCAGCTCATAACATCTTATTTTGCATAGACAATGGCATCTAATCTAACCACAAACAGAACCACTCTGTAATTTTTGAATTATTGGGTGATTAGAGATTGACCCTGGTGTCTGGGTTATGTAACATGCATATTTTTAGGTTACTTTCTATTGAAATCAGTAAATCTTAATAGCAAGCAAAGGGCTGTACATTAGCAAATATTTACCAAGACATTTTTAGTGGCCTGGCAGGGAAGATAGATTATATTATTGTCAATTTTTTCTTCAATGCTCAAGCCTTCTTGTTCTGTAAATAGTCAATTCCCAGTAAAGAGACATCTAGTAAACTTTCTAAACATGGAGGATAAGCTGATTATGTAGGATATTAAAGACAAATAGAATCTGTTTCTGTTTTCAAGGAGTTCACACTGGAATGGGGATGTGAGCTCAGTAAATCAGCAATGACAATGTGGTATGGTTTGTATAATGGCCAGAGGAACACCTTTTCTAAGAGATCTCTATTCAGTGTACATCCACCCTCTGCAAAAACATTTCAACTGTCAGAAAACCCATTGTCTCCATGAGTATTTTGACTTATTAGTTGAATATTATTCAACAGGGATGTCTTGACATCAGTATATGAAGCACCAGGGTGGATAACAGAGAAAGAATTCTTCACCAAGTGGACAACATCTTCGTCATAGAGAAGGAACCTCCAGTTAAGTGTGGGGGTAGGAGAGGCCAAGTGCTGATAAGCAATGTCATGCCATGCAGTATGATATGAGCCAGATAGAAATCAGTGGGAGTGCTCTGGGGAGCACCTTATCTCAGGAGTGGAGAAGGGCCACTGAGACCAAGATTGAAGATGGCGCTCAAGTCACACACGGTAAGAAAAAACCCTTTGTTGAACGATCGCATACCAATTAATCAATGCATGTGTAAAAGCATGGAGTTTGCTGTCCTGTATCTGCCTCACCCTCTAACAGATATGTCAAAAGAGACGGTGGTGTGGGTGTAACCACACTGAATTGTAATGGTGTATGTGACTCACATTAAGGTGTCATTGTGTAGCAGGGGCTACAGAACAGAGAGCCTGGAGCAGAAAGCCATGCCGGGTAAATAGTTAACAAAGTTGGGATCTCGTGAGACACTGGGCTGAAAAGGCCAGCAAGGGCCAGTGCACTCAGCACTCAGTCCACCTGTGAGATATTTTTGTTGTAGACCTAGAAGAGAGACTAGTCAAAAGAATAGTACTCCAGTCTGCTTTGGGGATCACTCATGATAACCCCTAGTTAGTCTGAAGCCTCTTCCACTTAGCAGCCCTTCAAATTCTTAAAAATAGGCATGTTTTCCTCCAGAATCTCCTTTTTACCATAATAATGCACACTTCATTTGCACGCAATGCCTACATCAGCCAAACCCCACTTCATTTTAAGTGAAGTAGCTACAGGTTATGCTCATGGGTGACATTTGAAGAACCAGCACAGAAGCTGTGCTTTTGCAGACATTCACTAGAGAATAAGTTGTTATGAAATGGGAGTTTCCTACACACTTATCACATGGCCTCCTGCCCACTCCCAGCATGCTTTGGTAGCCACTATATCAGAGATAGGAAGACAAATAGACGTGGCTTTAATTATCTGTTACTTAGAATTACAGGCTGATTCTCTATACAGATGAAAACCCATTTCTGTTGTCAGATCTCTCACAGCTCACACACACACACACACACATACACACACACACACACACACACTTATTTCTTTTCGGAATGCCCATGGGAGTCAAGATTTTTTTTTAAGATTTAT